ATTTCACGGTGCACCGATAAAAACAAATACGCTATATTTGTACAATCCTTTTAACATATATATATATATATATATATATATTATATATAATATATATGGAACGCGCCGCTATGCGAAGACTCACCTTGAAAGGTGACATAGACATCAAGCCGGCGGATAAGGGAGAAGCGATAGTTATTGAGAACAAACAGGACTATTTGGATAAGGGGTTCAGACAGTTAAATGGCAAATATTTTTACACGGAACTACAGGACGATCACACTCAAAGGTACCCTAAACTAATAAAAGAGACCCTAGATCTCTTCTCAAAAACAAAGGAATATCGGCGGACATGTACAAATCAATCAATTCCGCTTACCCTAAACCTGGCCGTTTCTATACACTGCCTAAAATTCATAAACAAAAAAAACTCTGGACGTCCAATAGTGTCGGGATATTTACAGTCCCAAAACGAATTTCAAGCTTTCTTAACTTCCTCAAAATGAACTTCCCAACCGATGTCTCTTCCAGTCTCAACGACACCAATCATTTCCTTCGCGAAATATCCGCACTCGTTATAGCTACTGCTGCATTCCTAGTAACCGCGTTGCGTACCTCTACTCAAATATTTCCCACCAGGATGGGATCAATGCGGTAGGAAGAGCCTCCAACAGTAGCACACCCGACACCTACGTGAACAACGACATCCTTGCAAACTTAATTAGACAAGTTTTAGAACAAAACAACTTCGAATTTGAAGGGAAGCACTTTTTGCAGGCACGGGGTACCGCAATGGGCACCAAGATGGCACCAAATTATGTAAATATTTTTATGGTGGATCTAAGGTGTCACTTGCTTTACAGTAGCGAATTAAAGACACTGTTTTATAAAAACTATATTGACAATATATTAATGATTTGTTCGCACAGTGTGGCCCACGTTTTAAACTTTATAAGCGATTTCAACAATATTCATCCTTTATAAAATTCTTTCACTGTTTACTCTGTCCACTCTTAGATGTGGTAGTAGAAAATCAAGAAAATAACTTCTCAACAAAACTCTACAGGAAGCCCACAGACCGCCAACAGTATCTCTACTTTAACAGTTCTCACCCTAAAGATTGCATAAACCATCATTCCGTTCTCTCAATCCCACAGATTCAGAAGGATTTGTTCAAACTTGAATGAATTTGATCGCAACGCTAAAGACCTAAAAGCAATGCCTACCGAGCAGAAACATCCATCTACAATAGTTGACAGGGCTATCAAAAAAGCACGAGCACTTGATAGATCACAAATCATTAACCAGCCTCGACCCAGCGTACCTAAGAATCAACAAGCCAACCTTGTCGTCACCTACCCCGACAGTCTTCCAAATTTGAACATTATTCTAAGGAAATACTTTAATATCCCACAACAGAGCGATAGACTCAGCACCTTGTTTCCTGTGCCACTACGTGTGGTCTACCGGCGACAAAGAAATTGTAAGGGCATCTTATTACGATCGAAAATCTCGGCGTCTCAAAATTTCGGCTGCCAGCCTTGCGGAAAGACCCTCTCTCAGGTTTGCGACCACATAGAACGTACCACTGAGATTAAAGAGTGCCCAGTCAGAATTATCTTTCAAAATAAGTTCAACACTCAACTGAGATACAAAAAAAAGACGTCATTTACGTATTGCGGGGCAACCTCTACAATGAGGACTGCATAGACCAGACCGGAGCGCTCTTCCGAAAGCGCATTCAGTGATCATAAATCACATGTCAACTCCCTTCCACAACTCCCGTTCCCCAAGCACAGAAAACTACCGGATCGCCATTTTGGCGATCCGGTAGTTTTTTCCATCTTCACACTTACAAAACTAAAAGTGAATTTTCACATCACTTCCCTATTTGGTCGCGTTTTTTTTTTTTTTTTTTAATTGAACTGCCGCTTCAGGTTTTGTTGCGTGAAAAGTAAAGTGGTGCGTTGACCGTAAACTTCCTAATCTGTCACATTCTCCCAGACTCTAAATAAAATTAAATGCCGGTCTCAGAGGACAAATTTAAAGAACATTTTATTTTCAAATTCTAGCACGTAGATGCAAAGAACCTGGAAGGCCGATAAACGAGGGTGCGTCTTGTTATTGTTTATATACATATCAAACATGGTTAGGCATATAAAGTATCTTAAGCGTAATCCAGAACTATTGTTTCCTGCACTCAACTAGAGGAAAGACAAAAGTTTTCACCGTTTGCACCTTACGCGTTTACTAATGAATATATTACACCAAGTAAAACATTAGCAGAAATAAACAAAAGCCCGACGATGAAGCCAATGGGGTTTTTCACTTATATTAATTAGATAAATATATGTATTTAATTAAAAAGATGATTAGTCTCCAGCAAACCCACTAGCTTAGTCGACTCGTATTTATTCTGGCCTTTCGCTTGCCTCTCGTCGGGTGATTACTAATGTGTCTATGTAAACAGGTTGAAGGTCACTCACCGGCCAAACACGCACACATTCCCCGGTTGTTTAATCACCGCCTCGTTTCTAGCTGGAGCCTTGCGGAAGATAGGCAGTGACCGAAAGGCGGAACGAGGCTCATTCTTCAAATTCCATAATTGCAGGTGTCGCATGACGGGAAAGAATCACACATTAGTGACGATTTTGAGATAGTTTCCGTGGGTAAAAATTGTTTATGCAGATTCAGGACAATATATTTGCGGACTTCCCTAAAGTAAATTTATTCAAAATACGAAATAGCATTTATGAGCACTCTTGAAAAAGAAATAGCGAAAAAAACATCTACACTACTACGACACGTATCCAATAATGCCATACAAAAGACTCATTAAAAAATTAAATTGTTTTTACACAGGACTTAACAATTTTAAGTGGTTTAGTATCTCTTATGCTTTAGACGCATACACCCATAAAACATAAATATTCTAGGTTCTATCACAATATTCCTAATTAGAAAATTATTGAAGACAGGTTGAGGAAAACAATGTAGTTTATGTGGAACCTGACAAAAACTACGACAGACAACCATGGCCAACCATCAAATTAATTCATGCATTATTGATGAAGAAAAATTAATTTAATGCGATATGGTTCTTTTGTGAGGTATTGTTGGATATGGGTTATATGGTTTCGTGCTTTTTGTTTTACTAGGTCTCACAAGAAAAACAAAACTGATCGTGCTCAAGGAATTGCGTTAGTACCGATATTAAAATTTTACCAGATTTTATTCACGGCCTTGAAATAGTTTCTCTTGCACAAAACCAAGAGAGCAAACACAAGCAAATTTTAAGCATTCTTTGGTGGACAAACCCTTCTAATGCTTACGATAAGAGCCCAGTACCCTTCCTCCTATGTAGATTTCAGTCACTTCTCTTGAGTAGAAAATACGGAGACTTGTTTCATGGCTACGAGCTTAGTAATACGTGCCTGAAATCTACAAAAACCGTTAAAGTAAAAACATCCAGGAATGTTCACCTGCCTGAGATATTTGTCATTTCGTAGATAGCCTGTGTCTAACTTTAACGGTGTTATAAAATGAAACTGTCCTCAAACTCTGAAGTTCTATTTTAGACTATTATGAGGTTAAGAGGGAGTATTTTATACAGTGCAGAAGGAATATATGTTATGTACTTTTCTTTCTGAGTGGAATATTTATATAATGAAGCAATATGATACACTACTACATTTAACAGATCTAGGCGTCTAAAACGAATTTTACACGCATAGCTACACCCTTCAGTATTCTTCTTTCCATTACTACACCCTTGTAATTGTAAAATAGGCTGCTCTTATATCAAACGCCCTGCATTTTAAAAATAGTGCAGAAAAGGGTGCTGCAGTGAAATGAGGCGAACACCCCTGTTGTGTGAGCAAGGCGGTGCAGCAGTCAACAGGACAGTGATTCCTCTCCCGGGCGTGTTTAATTTCGTCTGTATGTGACTTTTTTGTGCACGTGAGAACTGCCTCCGGGGCTTGCAGCTTCCAAACTTGCTGCTCGTAAAAAAAGTACTCCTAGAAAGCTGCAAGATCGTCAGAATCACTGGTTTAAGGCTGTACACCGGCATCCCAAGAGCGTCGCTTGTCTAGGCCGATTGACAAGTGAATTTACACCCTTAAAGAGTCCACATGTCTTTTACTGCGTAGAACAACTCTCAAGGCTTCGCGTTTTGTCGTCTATTGTCCCCCTGTGCCCGAACCTGCAAGCAGTCCTGATGATCAGTACTGAAAGGGACTAATTTCGACGAAAACGTAACCCTTCTATGCGGAACACAAGTCCGTCTGCTTCTTTTGTGGAGTCTGTGGTGACATCAGAACGCTGAGCTCTGATTGGCTCTAATTGAAGGATAGTCGGTGTACATTGACGGCAAGCTGCCTAGAGCGCTACCCACTATTCGTCAATCACAGCCCATCAGAGCTCGGCGTCTTGACGTCACCACAACATATGAAAAAGAAGCAGACGAACTTGCGCCCCGCATAGTCACCGACGCCCTAAGAAAGGCAGGGCATGGTGACTCCCGAGAATCTTATTATAGGTTCTGAGCGAATGAGACTGCGGCATTACCCGATAAGATAATCAAAGATACGAATCAGGACGCAAAAATCATAAGCGTAAGCCCAGCGCTTCTTCAGATGGAAGTGCCTATAGGCAAGAAATAAAAAAGGGGCGGAGAAAGGAAATCACGATCCTTCTATCTTAGATTCGACAAACGTCTTTTGTTGTCAAGAAAAAAAATTCTAAACAATTTAATAAAAAAGAAAAAAAAAAACCGCGCTTGTGGTCTCGTGGGACGACCGGCACACCAAGTGCAAAAACAAAAACAAAAAAAAGAAGGGAAAGAAAAGAAACCGCATTGCGCCGAGCACAAAGCGGCCGCCAGTCGCCGGCGAGGCGGACTGCGCGTGCGCGGCCGCCAGACCGCCCAATGAGAGGGCGAGCCGGAACATGGCGTCTGCTCAAAAGGAAAATCTTCTCTGGGGAAGCGCGAGATTATTTCACTCTGTTGGGACCATCAGCATGGGATCCCTCACGCTGGTCTTACTCGCGGCATTTGCCAGCACCGGTGAGTCCTCTTGCCCCAGATCCGAAGGCTGCGTGCGCAAACGTTGCTCGCGTATTTGGACCGCGACGTTTCGGCTCCATTTCGTTCTCCGCTACTTTTGATTTTTCTTTTGTCAGCCGTTCTTCAAACTTGTAAGTCTTCGATGATTCCTGCTTCTTGGGCGAGTGATGTCAGCTTATAGGCTTGTATGTTGAGGAATGGCAATGGGATTCGGCGCGAGAGTTGTAGTTGAATTAAAACGTGACGTTTCGGATTTTTTTCGTTCTCCTCTGCACTTGATTTCTTTTTATTTTTGTCAGCCTTTCTTCAAACTTGAAAGTCATTGATGATTACTGCTGCTTGTATGAGTAATGGCTCCTTATAGGATCGTATTCTAAAGATCGATTACTCGATCCAACTCGAAAGTTTATTTAAACCGTGAAGTATCGGTTCGCTTTCGCGTCCGTCATTTGTATGAGCATTCGGTGCGGACCTAGTTGATTTATACCATAGCTCGATCTGGACAAATTATTCGAGCAAATATGAACGTGAGATTTATACTTCCCGACAACACGACGTTTTCCGCAATTATAAGCTGTCTGCTAGCTCGATATGAGTGGGTACTCGACATTCAACCTTAGTATCAGTGCGAATTTTAATTATCAGTTATTCATGCTTCCCGCTGTTCGCGAGATTGTACTTCGACTATAGCTTACCAGATTTTTATATACTGTTTCGGAAACGAATCGAAACCGTTGATTTGTTTTTTGCAACCCTTCCAAAGCGGTCAGTTCACGCTGTTCTTGGATACCAGTGTCATTCGGAAGCTGACATAACTAAATGCATCCTTAATTTTAGCTAAAAAATAGCACTTGTGAAAGTTAGGTTCGTCACCCGATGTTTACGGTATTTATCTTCGGCGAATGATCTACCGCTTACGCAAGATTAGAAAGCGTTCCGTTATCGCTGCAGTGTGTTCTCAGTTTGCTCTCGTTTTTGAGAAGAGGTAGATGCTTGAATTTTCATTCGGTCAGTGTCTCAGTAGAGCGTTTGCCAGACTACCTTTTCTGAGCATTTCGTTATCTCTTGTCAATAAAGCTGTGGTATTTAGCGTTGACGAAAGAGAATATGCCGGGAGACCGCTATTGGAAAGTCTCAAGGGACACGGCGCCGTTGTAATTGGGCTGTCTCGACGAGGAAGGAACGCGGCGGTCGACAGGCAAACGGGTCTCGAATGTAGGTGTTTCGCATTTCCTTGTGGGGGCCGCGTGTGACATTAGACGCAAAAATGGACGGAATAAAAGAAGAAACAAAAAAGTGGCAACCGCGTAACATCGGCACGTTCGCCGTAACCAGTTTGACTGCTCCCACGAGATTATACGATTTACGTGACCCGCACGGCTTGCGCAAACTCTGCACTGTTCCGCTGGACGAGTTTCTTTCTTACCCTTCTTCGCATTTGCACCAAATACCTCCTGTCGTTTTGTGTGTCTCATTTTGTTATGTAGAAAGTGTTCTAGCCATATAACGGTAGATCGCGATAAAGGACAATCGGGAGATGCTCTTCCTTGCCCCCGGGAACCTTTCGAAACATGGTGGCCGGCTTGTGACCGCCGCACGACGTAATGTCGCACCACATTCAAAACTCTCTAAGTTGCCACGTGGACTTTTGCCTGTTCAGATTAAATAGCATGTCGGAACAATTGTGACATTGGTAGTGGAATATTCGGTATTAGGTAGGCATACCTGTGGCTCCTCTTTTAACCTTTCTGAGTAAGGAAAAAAGACAATGTAGGGGCCAGAGCAGGTTAGTATTGGGCAACTACTGAAACAAGGATCATGACATGTGGCAGTATATACGCCTGTCGTACCTGGTGAAACATAAAACCTATGAGTTTGCTATATACGCCGTTTTAAATTAGCGTTATTCATTATTCTTAGATTTGTTATGTTCTTTACAAAACACGCAATTGCTTCTCTGACACGAGGCACATATGACATCGTAAAATGAAGTGGGGAGTGTCCCATGCTGTTCTTTGTGCACAATCAGGTCTTTTCTATCTATTTTCACAATAACATAACTACTTTAGTTGACAATTTCATCCTGTCTCTCTTCGATCCTCCTCTCTCTATATATATACTTATTTTCTATTCTGCTTATTCAGAGTACAAAGTAGCCGGAATGTATCTGCGTTCAAGTTAACCTCCGTCTTTCTTTTATAGACGACCCTCTCGTATAATAGAGTTTACACGGGTTTTTTTCTTTCACTTGAAAAGCTTGGAACACTTACGCGCGCATCTACTCCGAATATTATAGTTAAGCTTAATCAGAGTTTTGTGCCAGCAGTAAAGCTAAGTGACCGCAACAGTCAGTTTGAGCTTCTCACAAAAAATATTGGGAGTCCAAATTGAAACATTGATAATGAATAACGAATCCCGAAACTACATAGATATAAAACAACCGTCATTGTTCCTTCAAGGCAGTCTCAAAGTCGACCAGGCATGTCTCTGCATATTTGCAGATTGGAGACAGTGAACAAGTCGCGCTGTGTCCAACTTTGCTCCAGATAACAAAAGCAAGCGCGGGTATTCCCGGAAATTGAAACGGTGTAGTTTTACACGGAGTTGCTAGAATGTTTCACCCTGATCACTCACTCCTGCTCTCTCCCTTTCTTCGAACTGTCAAACGTCCAAAAGAAACCGAATGAGCAGAAAAAGACTATGGTCAAGCAGAACGCAAGGAGCAGGAAGACATAATGCCCACCGCCGCAATTACAATGATCGAGGCATTTCCGTACTCTTAGACGATTTCTTTGCGTAGTCCGGCACTGTAGACTGTTGTGACGATTGGGATATGACAATATAGAAACATGTGTAGCGCAAGTGAGCCTTTTTCATTGAGGTGGAACGAGATAACACGTTGATTTTCGTACGAGTTGTCTCAACTTCCTAATAGGTCAATTTCTCAAATCTGGATTAAAAACAGGGCTTAATAACAAATTAAATTGCTTGTCCTTGCTCGAATAGTTGACGAGCAGATATCAACATATGTGAACTATAGTGATGAAATTAAAGTGAATAGGTTGCACTGTTAAAAAAAGCTGGGTCACTTTCCGAGTTTGGGTTTTATGATTGTATCAAGGTAGCGCGATATTCTAAACAGAGCAGACCTTGTTCTAATTATAAATTAGTTAGTTTGTTACACATATCACTCAAACAAAAAATAAACCGATGGCATAGGTGGCACGAGTTAGTAGCAATGGAGCATAGAAACGTGCCATGACATTTCAGTCTTCCTCACTTAATCACCTTGAATAAGTGACTGAGATGAGTTCGGCTAAAGCGTCAAGCTCTTCTTCCCTTTCACTCTCTATATTTTAGGCCTTCAGAAAGTTTCAGTTCAGCCTTCTGTTAGTTCAATCAGTTTCTGCATGCGTCGTTTGCGAAAGAAGTAATTCTCGGCCATTTTGAGAAACAAGTGGAAACTATTTTGAGTAATCAGGACACTCAGAAACTCATTTTTTAACTTTGGCAAACATTCTCATCGTCTATTTAAGGCGCAGTAATTTTTTATGGTGATCAACGATCTTTGACATTGTAAGTCGATTGCACTAGAATTGTGTGACGATAGACGGAAAATATACCTATGACAACTAAGCAGGTTACGTTGAATTATTTCGATCCAGATAACAAACGAGAAATCTACCGTATTTTTTCTACTTTAAGTGGTCTGCAATCGTTTTAGAGAGCGTGCGAACTTGGTCTCACAGTAACGTTGATCCCGTTTATAAGAAATCGTTGAAGCATAAAGTCATCATACTTGAAACCTTTTGTAACTGAACAATTTTGCAAGTGTCCTTGCTCTATCGCGCTGCAGGGTTGAGTACACATCAAAACATGCCGCTCGAACACGCAGCGTAACCTTTATTGCGGAGCAGCGCCACGGCAGTCACGCTGCAGCCCTTTTCGAGCGCGAAAATAATCATCCTTTCACGTCGGTCACCCACGAGCGCCCACAACCAGACTCAAATACCTCGGCCCATTTTGCGGGAGGAGTAGCCAAGCAGACAAAAAAAAAACCGAAAAAAAAGAACGAGAAGCAGAGAGTAGACGACGCGTGGCGCACGACCTCGTCTAGCGGTAGTCTTCGAACCCTAAAAACTCGCTCCCCCCGCGTAGCAAGCGCGTCTCGCCAAAAAAAAGAAAAAAAAAAAACAGCACAACGATGTTTTTTTTTTTGTTTTTTTTTTATTTTGTGCAATTTTTTTTTTTTTTTTTTTTAATCCCGTGTCACGCCCTAGTAGAAAATAAAGAGACCTGTTTCGGTATTTTGGTTTCTGCTTTTCGAATGGCATACAAATCCCTGACTCCAGCGGATTGGAGAAAAAGTCGGCGAACATAGATTCAGTTGTTCCCTTCATTGTTGTTTTCTTTTAACAGGAGAAACATCCGCCTCTGTCCTATGGGGGGGGGGGGGGGGGGGGGGGGTCTGGGTTGAACGTACTGGTGGAAACGCATCTCGAGAACTTTGCGTTCTTGACCTCATTCCCTGCGGATTCGTCGTCGTAGTGATTGTTGCTGTTTCCATCGATGTTGTCCTCTTTGAAGACCGGGTTACTTCTGGCAGAATGGAGGCGATCTCCCGCTCTTCTGTCCTCTGCCACAAGCAAGTCGGCCAGGTGTTCCAGATTTCGCTGTCGCATTTATTTTTTATTACTCAGGCCCCATCAAATCAACCCAAATCCTGGTAAGCGGTGGACAGAAGTCGTGGGTAGACGTCGAGCTTTGTATCTGGAACGAAGAACGGTCTGACAGCGAGAAGAGCCAAGAGGTGCACTTTCGCCGACAAGGATGTCACCGCGCCAACGCGAGACTCATCTTAGATAAGTGACGGCGGGGGCGGGTGTAGGTGCTAAGGTTCGCGTGGGCGTGTAGTTAACTAGGCTATTCCCTGGCAAAGGGGTTAAACGCGCACACAAACACATAATGAAACGCAACATAAATAATTGTCGCTTCAAGTCGTAAACGATTGGGCCAACGAGTGTAGGTGCTATTTTGTGGTTACCTGGTACAGATTGAGATTATAAAGCCGATGAAGTGTTTTCCACGTGATTCTTGTGGTAAGGGCTTCTGGTAAAAATCCGCTGGTGAATTCTCCTTCTGTCTCATGGTTAAATTCGAATCAGATTTTTTTTTTCTTTTTAACGTTGTACTTAGTTGTTTTTTGAAACACAGCATGATTATGTATAATCTGGGAAAAAATGTTTGAGCAATTTTTGTCACAAATGAAACGCTGTCAAAAGTTGACAAACCTTGCCGAAAATCTTGATGTCCACTCGTAGCCACATCGGTGTTTCACTCAGAGAGCCTCGAAACATAGTACCAGGCTGCAGAACTGGAATTTAAAAATCTAGAACGGCTTAAAGAAAGTATATAAACGAAGCGAGAAATGTAACCATGGACAATATCGAAGCAGGAACCGAATGGTTCCGGAAGTATCCGGTCATCCGAGCAACCTACGCAGGAACCGGATTCGATGCTTTCGCACATTTAGAACGCTGACAATTCAAGATATACCTGGATACTCGAAATTCACAATCGCTGGCCTCATCTTCAGAACACTGAAGGGCTTCTTTCCAAACGCTAAAGTTGCGAGTCGTGTGAACGAATGTTGTAAACGCGAGAGATCGGTGATGCGTGTACGGATGGGGTAAACGCGTCTTCCGCAGCCCACAAATGATGTTCGGGCCGCGTGCATGCGGGTACACACCTAGACCCATGCCGGAGAGCGGGAAATGGCACGGGTGAGATAATTTTATCCGTCGTCGCCGGCTAGAGCAAGCATGTCCGCATGCTGCGATTTGTACCAGGAAGCAAGAAACGACGAGGGCGTTGAACTGCGCGACGCCCCGCACGAGACGCCGCTGCGCCAAGCCGTAGAACAATCGGCGCGCCCGATGCACCATTCCGCCGCCGTCCTTGTGCATCTGCCTTTCGTTTGCTTTACGTCGCGCGTAGAAGGCCACGTGCACGTGTCGCTCTTTTCGTACCTCGAGCAATGGGAATGGGTCACAGTGGCAGCATCGTGTTTTGAGCAAACCACTATGACGTCGAAAACCGCTTGAACGGTGTCGAATAAAGACACGCGCAAAGGGACAAAACTAAAATTATTGAGTGGACTATGCAACTAACAATCGTATCAGTATACAAGTCGTTTCAAGTACCTTAGAAACCACTACCGCCGTTCCGCTCACCATATTCTAAATTCAAGTAAAACGTTTCCCTTTTACAGCTGTTGCCAAGAAGTAAAAAAATTGATCTTCAGATATAGCTTGTGGCAAGCACCGTGTCACTTGCAGCAAGAATGTTTTGGCCCTGTTTATTTGGAACAAGGTGATGGCCAGAGGCAACTTCAATTGGAAATCAAAGCAGGGCATCGACACACGATCATTCTTAATAATCCGTCTCTTTTCTGCGCATTCCGGTTTCGAACAGTAGTGAGTATCGTGATAAATCCGCGTGTAAGGGCTGTGCAGATGGTGAATGCCCCATTTTTGAGGCGGAAGTTAAAATGTGACGGGCTGAGTAAGACACAAAATTCTGCCGTCATTGATTGGGATAACACGTTCACCCGCGCAGTTTATTTATGACGGTAGCTTTTCAGTTGATGGTGGCGATCGTAGAAACTAAGCCACATATAATTAAATCAAAAACAGCATTAAAGAGTAAAACAAGTCAATGAGGTTTTGTTATTCAAAAACCCCGAGACCACAATCTCGCGTCGTATGCTCCCGCCTGTGTCTGTGTTCCAAACAACGGGTCCTTACAAAGTTTAATAAACAAAATTACAGCTTTGAATATAAAGGTATGTGGAAGACATGCCCGTACTTTGCGTTCAATGTTTACCTACAAACGAGATTTCAGTTAGTACTCGCCCGCTTAAACGCCAAGGCAGGAACAGTTCCTCTTTTAAACATATGGGCACACAAAGAACGGTCAAGCTAGAGGAAAGACAAAACACTGGATCACGGCACGGCATCACGGACTGTCGAATATGGTATTTATTTATCCCGTACGGCTTTCTTATTTAACTGCAGTTGATCGTCATTTTGTGTGTATACTCTTGGATCTTCTGTTGCTAATAATTTAAACTAGAAACGGTAAGATTAATTTTAAAAGAAAGGCGTTTAATTACACGTGTAAACGTTAGCAAGGCTACAAACATCTATGAAGTGGGCTTTTCCAGCGGGTATGTACAGTGCGCTGCAACATGAAAGACCCACTGGGAGCGTGTGGCCGAGGCGGTGGCTGGCGGGGACGCTGCGAGCGCTCCGGGCAATTCCATTCTACTTCAAGGGGAGGACGCTCACACGGGGCTCAGCTAAAGCGCAACGCGCTTATCAGTTTGTGCTGAGCCCCGATAGCGTCCTCCCCTCGAAGAAAAATAGAATTGCCGGGAGCGCTCGCAGCGCCCCCGCCAGCCACCGCCTCGGCCACGCGCTCCCAGTGGGTCTTTCATAATGCAGCGCACTGTACGTTGAGTGGCGGTGCCGCTGCTACGTTACAGAGAGAAAGCGACCAAGCTCTTTGTCCAGAGATTTTAAGAAATAACTTATATCATAAACAATTTTAACAACATTCGCGAAAGCGATTAACTTGATTAAATAAAAACTGTTGTATTCCGGGCCTTTTCATTCATTTTATCATATCATTCAATAACATTTTTCTTAGTAATAAACCCAAACAAATATGTCCTATAGTAAGAAAATAAAACGTTAAAAACAGCCCAATAATGCACAGACGAGCTGGTGTATTTTAAGGCGACAATAAAACGCAATTTCGACGTTTATTTCTTGGTTTATACGTGTTCAAAAGAGGAGTATACCATTAAACACCTCATATCCCTGTCAGACGGGCACTTAAAAGGACCTTTACACCAAAGGACCTTTAGCGTACGGCAACTCAGATAGTATTTAGCGTAAAGGTCTTTTTTGTGAACCTGAGTTCCCGCACCTCCTTTACGGCTGCTAAAGGCCTACCTTCGTCAGCAGCGGTCTACACTAGAGAAGCGAATTGAAGTTAAAGATCGTACCGATATCTGAAATCGATGCTTTTGCGATTTTATTAATGAAAAAGAGGGTCCTTCACGTATACTCCGTACAAACTTCGCTCTACTAACAGTTTTCCGTATTCACGGCCCTGTTATCTAGTAGGCCTCGTCGTCGCCTGCTCGCATCGTCCACTTCGGCACTTCGGTTTTCCTCCTATTGATTTTCCTTACAGCCATAGTTAGCGAGCTTTTATTTGTCTACTTTATATTTTATCATCCTTTAATAGTGTATTACTAGCTGTACTGTATATATTTCTGTATCTCACTGTCGTGTCGTGCGATACCTCGAACGACGGGCGAGCGTCCACGAGTAGGAAGGGGTCGCCGCGTTTCCAATGGACAGTTGAGGCGACCTGGGCGCTGATACGAATTTGGAAGGATCGGCCGGAGGACCTCCGACGCGTGCGATGAATTTTCTAGCGCGAGCACGACGCTTAACCGAACAGCGCAAAAGCTTAGCAGAACCACGGAAATCAGCGGGAGCACTCAGCAACGTTAGGACTGAGTGAATGGGAGACGCCCAGGGTTGCCGCTAATTGCCAAAAAAAAAAAACACTTTGCTGGGGCTTAAAGTGTGGACTTTTCTGTCATCACACGGCTGAACTCGTCATTTTGTCCTTTTTAATCGATTGTTTGCTTAAGAAAAACTTTAAGAAATTATTTATGTCGCCAAAATATTGTTTTTTTGGCGTGAACGTGATTTATGTGTTTGAACCGTGGTACGTGACTTCAATCGCTGTAAACATCGTCTAAATGACATTTATTTGCGCTGTCTGGCACGGCAGAACGTAAAGGTCATTTGAAAATCCTAAAGGCCTTTGGCGTAAAGGTCCTTTTAAGTGCCCGTAAGAGATATTGGTCTCTCGTTGAGAAAGACACGAAAAGAAAGACACTAAAGAAAAATTGCACGCTTTTACCCGCTTAAAAGGAGACGTGGCGGCGACCAAATGCCTTGCTTGCAATCATCTTGTCGACGCGAGCCTCGCAGCAGCTTTGCTCATCCCGAGACAGACTACGTCACGACTCCGTCGGATGTCACGTGTTCTCCGCTGGCTGCTCTCCGAGCACTTGCCAGGGTGTGCCGTTTATAACGAAAAATACAGCCACCAGGCTTAAAATACAAACGTGAGGTTGTCCTTTGTGAATATTGTGGATCATAATCAGTCTATTTCTGTACAGGACAGGTATATTTAAAATTTCGTTTCATTATCTCTTTAAGGTTCATGGAAGCCTGAAACCAAGGAACATAAAAGAGCTCGTTTCTGCTTTGTTCGTTGATCTCGGGGTTTTATGACTCTAGATTTAATTGCAATCATTGTTATTAAGAAAACAGATTGAACGCTTGGGCAAAATTTTTACGCAAATGTTTCAAAATAATTATACTACATTACAAAGACGTGTGATCAAAGAAGTATCGTCTTGCATTGTACTTGCACTCAGCATCAAGTTTTTAGTTTCTGGTAGAAACTCGAACGAGTAGAAAGGTTTCATAAATTACAACCAGCGCGCAAAAAGAAAGGGACAAAGAAAGAATCACACAGGACGAGCGCTGAGGTTAATTAAAAATCCCGCGTTCGCGTTGAGTTTATCGCGCAAATGACTAAGTTATGGTTTCTTTTCCTTTTTTTACATTTAATAACATTTTCTTAGATACCAATATTTACATAGCCTGAACATTAGCAGTAATTTTTTCTTAATATTTTCCGGGTGTTCTAGCTGCGACTCCCCCCACCCTTCCCCCAAGTTGAAAAAAAAGCGTCCCCGGATGCCATGCAGAGCTGCTTTCGGCACGAAGCAAAACTCCTTCTCGGGCTGTACATAATGATGGTACCTGACACCGACTAATCTCGTTAATTCTTTCATGCAGTGTTCTGCCAACGCAGCAAGGACAACGTGTGCCGAAAGGACAATGGTTTCTTCGAGCACGAGCAGTACTGCGACTACTACTACGAGTGCCAGGATGGCGTGGCCACAACGCACCTCTGCCCCAACGGTCTCGCCTTCTCCGGCAAGAACCGGGGCCTCCTGAACCACTGCGACTACCCACACCGCGTCGGGTGCCCTGACGAGGACGGCCGCGTCATGGGACGTGAGTGCATAGACCTGTTCTCGTCACCGTGAAACTAACTGACGCGCCTGTCCTGCTTGAAGGTATAGGAGGACGTAACATTGAAGCAGACCTTGAGGTTAATCGTCATGCACCGCGCAATAAGCATGTTCAACAATAACGCCGCAAACCAGCCCGCATTTGTTGCGCAGTACATTCTAATGCAACAATAAAATAATGTTATCGGAGAGTTTTTTTTCTACTTGCGATCATTTTAAGGTTCGCCATAAGTATTTCTTGCATGACAGCGAAAAGACAGTGTTCCTTGAAGCGGCGCTTGGTGTCTTTGGTGTAGATGGGCAGGCCAGTTTAGTAGGGTGGCTAACGTAAACTTTTAATGTGTTTTATGCAGTAGTATTCAAGCAACCGCACGCAAGTGTGAACGTAAAGCACTCATGGGCGGAGATTGAACGAAGAAACAATCCTTGTGTTCTGTAGCGCAAACAATCAGCCGCTAGTGTCTCACATTAAACTTTGTCTTTTTTCATTGCTAGCGTACCCCCAAATAATATTTAAGATAATTGAGACGCACTTGAATTGTGTAATATATATATATATATATATATATATATATATATATATATATATTTGTGGTATTGCAGTAAAATAAAACACAATGTTATAGATAATGGCACCACTATCAAAACAATTTCCAAGGTTCTGCTGAAGGAGTAGCTTTCCCAGCTGAGTCTTTTGTCATTTATTGTGCTAACTAACTTCCGAAAAATCAGGGAAAAAAACAGTTCTGCTGATAATCTCGTGTCATTAGTTTTAAGTAATCTAGTTATCACATTAGAACGACACGCGTCAAACTTGGTTAATTTTTCTGGATAGGGCACGGCAATTAATTGGGGTCCACTCATTTAATCCCAAGACACTTCATCCAAGAACATTTCATTCCGGGCACCTTGTACAAACAATTTTTCATTTCAAGGCGTGTTATCATAAACGTTTCATCCAAGCGAGATTCCTTATCAGGATAATTAATACATCAGACACGCCATGCGACCCCTCATACTAGGACATTTCATGCCAAGTCAGTTGATCCCAGACACCTCATAGGAAAGTAATTAATCGCAAGTCAGTTAATCCCAGACATCTAATACCATAGTCATACATTCCAAGTCAGTTAATCTCAGATATCATACCGCAGTCATTCATCTCAAGTCAGCTAATCCCCCCACACCTCACACCAAAGTTATTCATCGCAAATCAATTAATTCACAACACCTCATACCAAAGTCGTTCATTCCGAGTCAGTTTATCCCAGACACTTCATACAAAAATAATTTCATGCCAAGACACTTAATCCCAAGCACTTCCTACCAAAGTCATTCCATCCTAAGGCACCTTTTCCCAAAGCTTTTTAAACAAGAACCACTTATGCCAAAGTAATCTTATAGCAAGATATTTTTCCCAGGACGTCCTGTGTCATTGGGCATGTGATCCCCAACATTTAACACCAAAATAATTTGGTGTCATGCCTTATGCACGATATTTCATCCCAATGTAACCAATTCCTAGCCCCCTCATGCCAAAATAATTAAATCCCAAGGCAGTGAATTTGTTTGTTAACCGGGTTAACTCCGGTACCGTTTAGGCTGTTTCACTGGTAGACTCTCAATGCCGACAGTGTTACAAACTATGCGCGAATGCGGCACAGTGCTTTGCAAGAACACATACACAAACGAAGGGTGAATCATGCACGCGAAGTATCCAATAAAGCACAAGCAAGATACAGGGCTAATAGCATCCGCCAAGGTCGCGGTATGACGAGCTAGTGTGTAATCAACAAACCCCTGCCAGAGAGTTTGTTAGTTGGTGTTTTCAGCCTCACCATATCATGGCAAGATGTTCGTTGACTGCTCTACGTGAATGAAATCTCTTAAGTTTAAACGCCTTCGGATGAGATATTTGGTATGAATTGTCCATGATAACGTTTCCAGAGATAAAGTGTCTAGGGGTGGAGTCAGTATGCCACATGCCACACTAAATACTGCATAAGATCTTCTGGCAAGCCACATAAAATGTTGTGATATAAAATGTCTCTGAGATATAACAGCTTCCGATAAAAAAAAAAATCTTGAATGAAATGTCTTTGGTATGAAGTGTACGAGACGAACTGCCCTAGGATGAATTGTGCTAGAGCCCAATTCAGGGAATATTCGTAATGTATCATAGTGTTCAGATTTAAAACTGAATTACTACTGCAGTCGGTGACACTTTCTTGTTGCATTGAATTAAAGGGGCAGTGCAACGAGTTTAATGTTGGAAGAATTTGCAGTTTGTATTCTAACAAAGGAGCGTTTAGGAGCTCGTGTCACAAAAAATCCGGCTTCGGCGTCGGCGGGACCGAAAAATCCCATAAGGCAACACACGCAGCCACGTGTGCCACGCGTGACGTCCCACGTGGCTGCGCGCGTTGCATTACGGTGTTGCATTTTGAGATCGCTAAATTTGGCGGGAACATTTTCCCGCTAAATTTGGCGAAAAACTGTCCCGCCAAATTTAGTGGGTCAATAGGGTTATAACGCCACAGCCACGTGTGCCGCTACGTGACACGTGACGCTACTGAATACGCCACGCACACACGCTTGCACGGTGGCTTGGGAACGAGCACCTGTTTATATGAGAAGGCTTTGCAAACGGGACCCGATAACGATATTTTGTTCCACTCTTACAGGCCAGAGATGGCAATAATGATATTACTGTAATGGAATTACACTAATTAATTACTTTTTGCAGTCATAAGTAATGTAATGAATCACTTCTCTAGGCTAGTAATTTAGTAATGTAATGATTTACTTTCAGGCCGGAATTTCGACAAAATTACTCATTATTTTTGAAATTACTTTTGTCCTCAATATGAAAATTTGTTTGCAAGCTTTAAGAAAAAATAGAAAAAATTATTTTGCATGGCGAGATGCTGTGAAAGAGCATCAGAGGAAATAAACGACGGCCACCTGAGCGCAAAGCCTTGTACGAAGAGCTGGACAGACGCACAAAGGAGGGCTTAAAAGGCGAAGAAAAACGTACGTGTAGACATTGCTCGAAGGCAACGGCTACGAACTCCAGGCACAACAGATTCACGTCGTCGCGTCATCACGACGATACTATACTTCATTCATCCCTAAGCTGACAGTGCGGCGGAAGCTGCAAGCTAACTAGAACGAATCAAACACCTTCGTTTAATCCCCTGACCCGTCCCTTTCTCTGCGCGTGGGTAGGAACAAGAGCGTGGTTACGTGGCGAGAGATAGACGTGTGACTGCTCCAACAAACACGCAGCATCCACTGTTCATCCCTAAGTTGACAGGCTACAATGCGACGGGTGCATCACCAGTGAGATAAACAGAATTTAAAACCTGAGAGGACAGGACAAACAGATGCCCAGCCTTGTGCTTCTGTCAAGCAAGGTCAAACCGTAATCTTCGACCCTTGTGAACAAGAAACGACCGGAATCAATAGTTCATTTCAAATGTCTTGTCAAGAGACCAGAACGTTTCGTGTGTCCTCGAGCAAAGCAGGTGCCACTCGCGGTATGCCTCGTATCCTTCCCTTGGAAAGTTTGTTCGCAAATAATCCTACGAGCAGATATCGCCCCCTGTTTTTTTTTTTTTTTTTTTTTTTTTTTTTTTTAGAAAGTACAAAATTTAGGAAGCTCGCGCCATTCCTCAACTGGCGACGCTTCTGCTTAGCAATTATCCAAGCCCTTTGCGTGCGACAATGCGCAAAAACTTGGCCCCTTCGGGTGTTTGGGAAAACTGCTCCTTGAAAATAATGACCGAGAATAGGTCAGCTATTGCCCTTGGGAGAAGAGATTAGATTTTTTCTGAGGCGGAAAGGAAACGTTTCACGTGACGAGTCTTTGTAAGAACGAGCTGCCATTGCCCGACTTAACAAACTGACACGGGCTACAACTTCTAAATCAGGTAGACGGAAACGGATCACTCTTTTAGTAAGGAAAGTCACAGTTTTAAACAGCGAAACCGGTGAGTCTACTGACTTTTTGAGTCACATCTAAAGAAGCGATATATTATCATGTTTAACACTTATGTCATGTGCGCCAGCAAAACCACTGTTCAGTATGGTTCGCTTCGAGGCACATACGGCTGTTGCGGTGTAAACAAGAAGGTCTGAGTTTTTGTACATATAGACCAACCCAGCTCTTTGATATCACAACCCTGCTGTGGCACTGCTCTCGGCACTGCGCATGCGCAGCAAGTCGCTTCTCCCGGATCTTGTTGAGACACGCGCAGTGCCTATACCCTGTGTGGGCAAACGAGGGCTTCTTTGTAAACACTGTGTTGGTGTATACGGTCAATAAAATGAGCACGATTTACGGCCTCAAAGTATTCAAAAGTAATGTCAAAGTAATTTCAGACCTATTTTATTACGTTTGCAAAGCAATTGTAATGTCATATCGTTACCTTCGATCCGTGGTAATTTTTAATGTAATTTAATTACATTTTTTTTTGTTTTCAGAAATGTAATTCGTAATGTGATTTAATTACTTTTTGAAAGTAATTTTGCCATCTCTGTTACAGGAAACTTTAAGCGTCTCTCTATTTTTATATTGTTTATTTATGCACAATTGACAAAAAACTCGTCACCTTGCCCCAGAAAACTGCTCTTCCGCTGCGTAATCTAAAAAAAATAGTAGCCGATCTGCAGCCGCGTGTGGTGGTTAAGGGAACTACAGCGGCACGTCTCTTGGGGACACTCGGAAGTCAACAAAACCCCTCCGCTGCTACACTCGCCATAATCCCCGTGGCGAGCCGTATTTTGTGTCCATCGCTCGCCGCGACCTTCGACAATGCTAATCCTTGAAAAGTCGACAATCGCGAAGAAGAAAAAAAAAAAAAGAAACGGCTGGAGTCTTTGAAGAGAGAACCCAACTGGAAACCAGGCGGTTCCCCAGAGTGCGTCACTCGAAAGACGACGTGAGAGTTGAGGCGCACTTTGACCTTCAATTCGTTTCTTTTTTTTTTTAATAAAATTTCTGAAGTGAATTGGTCAAAGTCCGAAAATCGCTGCACCGCCCGTATAGCAAGGACTCAATATTTCCCAAGAGTTACGAATAATAAATATTTTGCTTGTATGCAGAGTCCCCCGAAAGCAGCGAGAACTGCCACTGGCAGTACGGAGTCTTCGCTCACCAGACAAGTTGCACCCGCTATTGGCAGTGCTGGAACGGCACGTCCACTATCCAGCAGTGCCCCTTCTCCCTCCTCTACAACGACGTAATGCACGCCTGCGATTGGCCAGACAACGTGCCCGACTGCCAGAAGCACCGTAAGTGGGCGATTCCTTCGAGGGCTTGCAATATCCGACGGGCTACTAGGAAGTGTATTTATGAAAGGTTACACAATAAGATAGACCCTTACAAACTTTCTCCAAATTTTTTTATAGACATCATACAATTATTGATTGCATTTTGCTCTTACTAGACTCAATACTCAATTTTATGCCTATATTCAAACAAATTCCACGATGAATTCTGTTGCCATATATTTTCGACTAGTTACGCTGTAGATAGTTTGACATAAGAGCTAATAAATGGCGATTTTAAATATTTCAACAATCATATCCACTTCAGTTTCAGTTTCAGATAAATTAAATATTTTAGCCGCTTTAACAATATGAAAAATAAAATACGACATCTGCGAAACAGGACAAGAGACATTCAACTTAATAAGCAATCCTGTCTTCTTAGGTATACCGAAACATGTATCCCCGGATGTTTGAACTGAAGGTTTATCTACAATGACAAATTAAAGTATATGCTACTCCACGCGCGCTAGGAAAAATGTTTGGTCCGAAGTAAAATGTTTGGTTTACATCTCTAGTAGTAAACACTTCTATAGACGTCCATTCTTTTATCGACACTGGTCATCATGTTTAGCATTTTGGGAAATTGCTTTAAGTGAAATTCACGACGATAGTGAGCAAGCGACTATACCGACAATAACACGGCAGTGGGAAGCCATCAGAAGGAAAGAGTAGTCCATAAATTATCAATTCTTTTTCATGTGCAGCTATCTGCAAGGACAGTCCCAACGGCCACATCGCCATCGAGAAAAGCTGCGTGCGCTACTGGCTTTGCGTCGGCGGATACCCCAGGCTGCAGCGTTGTCCTGCTGGACTGGCCTTCAACCCTACCGCGCTTCGTTGCGAGTTGGCCGACAGCATTCCCGGCTGGTACGTACATTGCATGTTGCAAGTGGACAGGCTTTGCCCCTGCCACATTTTCAATGCTCCTTATTATTAGACACTGAGATCGAGTTTTTTTATGTCACCATAATGAGTCGAAAATTCTGAAATTTATTTGATGTGTTATACCCTCTAAGTGCTATTCCATAATTAGGTATAGATTGCTAATATACCTGGTGAGACAAGTATTACAGTCCGCACTTCCCATGTCGCCTTTGTTCAATCAGACCCTTCGACATTCACTTTGTACTAACGTATACGCAATTTTAAACATTGAGCAACCTAACTTTATATTCGAACCCGTAACACACTATTAAAGGGCGCATATTTATTGTAACTGGCCTGGAGCGAATGCAACTAGCACCTGCAATGTGTGACGCTGCGTTTACAGTAGAAATAATATTACTCACGTGCTCGTTACTGAAAGAAACGCACCCGGCTAACGTATATGTTCACCCCGCTTTCGCACAGCGAGCCACCCCCAACCACCCAGCCTCCGGATGAGGACGCCCCACCCCAGCAGCAGGCCCGACCCCGACCCCAGCAGGCGCCTAGGCCATCTCCCCCCGCGCAACAGACGTCCGGACAGCGTCGCTTCAGCCCCCCACCTCAGGCCATCCCCGCGCCAGCCCCAGCCCCAGCGCAACCCGGAGCGCCTGACCAAGACGACGCCGCGGACTACGCCGACAACGCCGGCGGTCAGGCGCGTCCTCAGGGAGGTCCAAGGAGACCAGGCTTCCGGCAAACCGGAAAGTAGGCTTAGCAGAAGTCGGTTACTCCAGCAGACGACGCCTGCGCTGTTTTGCTCAGGCCGTGTCTTCGAAGCCAGGCGATAGGTGCCCCGCCACTTATCCCGGAAGTCGCGTGACGGACGTCACTTCCGTCTGCGTCCAAATCCCGCAGTCTAGAGCGACGTCTACCTTTTGACCACTAGGCACGGTGACTCCGTAAAACTGGCGTCACTCGACTTTTGGGATGTGGTCTGGAAGGGCATCAGTGGCTGATATGCCGCGTGAATTCTGTGGAAACTAGACCCAACATTTTCTTAGAAGGAAGCGTCTGCAAGATAAAAACTGTCAGGCCCAGGAAATGTGTTCAGAACGTACGCACACAATCGAAGGGAAGCAACGTTTTTAGTGTCCCCTTGCCGGCCTCAGTGCTAGAGTGCGATATCTACGTCGCAATGCGAGCTAAATGCTAAAGTAAATATTACTTAAACGTTAAAATATTAAAATTAAAAATTCTTTTTTTTTAAGTGAAATTAAGACGTTTGAGAAATAACAACTCAAAATTAGATACCTAATTCTGCCACAGAGCGAATTCTTGGGCAAGCGTTTGGACAAGTTAACTGTTTGCTCCCAGCTCCGTCGCCGAAACACTCTATATAGTTCATAAAGCTATTCCACTGAGCCGCCTGCGGTACGTTACTCAAAATTGTATCACGCCACAGTAAAAGAAAACGTTGTAACCGGGTCGCACTTATGAATGCAGGCATGTCACTACCACTGTGTCCTTGTGTAAATTTTTAGATTCTACCTTTGTTGTGTGTATGTTTGTGTATCTATCCACTCCAACCGAAAATCATCATTCCAGAGGCATTTGAAGAAAGGCCTCAGCTTCTTTCACAGTTTTCTATTCACTGTGTACATATGGACTGTCTGAAGCTGTACTGGCTTGTACTAAGCAGGCAGCATACAACTAAAACCCAATAAAAAATGCCCTTTCTAAAAAAAATGCTTCAAGTGTCTGTTTACTTGTATAAGAAGACGCCCGAGCTATTTTATTTTCCTTTATTATAACAAAAGAGACATACACTTTAGCGCGATACCTTTTATTCCGTGCTTCGTGATTAAGAATATATTGCCCTCAGAGGACTATAGCGAAAGAAGTGAACCTACACGCATTACATTTACATAACTACTGCGCGTATATTGCGCCTCGTCCTTTATTAATTCTAAAGTACATAGTCCCATCCAAATCAACAAACCTCTGTTAAAAAAAATTACCGAGTTTACAAGTAAGAAAGATTTAAAGGGGACTCCGCCGATTTTTTGGTTGACTTCGATTTGGCTGGAAATTTGCAGACCGCATTAATAACCCTTTCTTAACTAATAACCGAAATTTTTTAAAGAAATAATATTTTTCCGTGAAGTTATTAAATTTTCAAGTAACGCCGGCCGCGAGGGTTCCAGGAGGCGACTTTCTACTGGCAACAATGAAAAGTCCCTACTTTTCCCTACCCGCGTACGTCACGCATGTGCAGGCGGACGAGCGACTCGGCCAGCCGCGAAGTGGCTTTATGGACGCCAGCGATCGAGATAATTTTTTCGCAGCTTCAAGGTTGAAAGTTCCTTTGCAATGGGTAGCAATCTGTGCTAATCGATAGATTGTAAAAACAGTGCCGGGAAAAAGCTTCTTTTTCACCCTTTTTTTCGTGGGAGAGAAAAAGAAAAGCGTTCCCCGGCAGCAATGGAGGCCAGCCACGTCCAGGTGCTTTTGCGCGAGCTGTGTACCGAGAGAACTAGTGTCACGTGAAACATTTTCACTTTTGCTCGAAATACTTTATAACCGTGAGCGCAAACTCAAACCGGCTGTGACCATTCGACATCCGTCCAAAGAAGAGTGTTAATAATATTAAGAAAAATAGTACACCACTATAGTCGACATCTGGCAAAGTCACATTTGTTATTCACAATTGGTTCAGTGATTTCTTTTTTATTTTTTAGAAACACTAAATTTGTTTCGGACGTCTAATCTAGCTCGGGCTACTCTCGGAGTTCCACTCACGTGGCCGACATGTTGAAGACGAGAAGTGAAACGTCTAAATAAAGTTCAAGACTGAATTTAGACATGACTTTCGACGCATTGGTATTCCTCTCTGCTATTACAGAGGCTCCTGGAGCACGTGTTGAGCTCCATTAATATATACGATCGAGCCCTGCCTGGTTTGTCAAATGGTTGGCGTGCAATATTCGCTGCAGAAGAAATGATGAAAACGTCTTTATTTTTTTATATTGCGGAGAAATTTTATATGGGGCTGAGAACTTTTTTTTTAATTATGAAAATATGAATGTTGTTAAAGGGAGGCATGCAAATTTACAGCTGATGGAAACTGTGCTAAACCAACTTAACCTTAAAAAAAAAATTAAATTATATAGAGTTACCTCCTTCCCATGTGCTCTCGTGGATGGGTGTTTGAACACGTTGCATTCTACTCCAAAAGTAAAAAGAAAATATACGTGTACACTTTTTAGTAACTTTTGTTAACATATTTTGAATTAAAAGGTTTATGATGTCTTTCTGTACCTTGTACCTCAGGCACTATTGTATCTTCAAGCAAATATTCTTTATTTGGAGGTGAACAGTGTATTTGGGTACTTTATACGCATTCCATTGCACCTTGATGTTTGGCTTGGTGGTTGTGAATTCTTTTAATCGTCATTTTAACACGATCTTTATGACCAGTAACCTGCCATATGATCTACACAAACGCAGTTCATTTCATTCTATACATTTCATTGTTTACGAGGATCACAGCCTACATGTCTTAGGTCCCAGCCCAGCACGCACATGTTCATAGCTTTGGAAGGCGAGCAATGTACGCGCCACACGCACGAACGCTGAAAATGGTATCGACCAGAAGCGCTTTTCAGAAATGGTCTACAGATCTTTTGCTAAATTACTTAAGCAGCAAGGAGCATATTCCTGCCACAAGAGTAGTTACACGTGCTGACGCCTGCAACAGTAACTTTTCAAAAGAAAATCTAAAACAAATAGCAAGCTCCCTCAGGTCATACGAGCGTGTGGGGCATCTGTACCCACATTCCGAGCATTTTCCGCGGTGCTTTGGCAATTCTTACAAAAATGTATTGCGTGACTCTTCGACCTTTCTTCGCCAGCCATCTTCTAATAAAAGGGAACGGATTTACCAGCGATATCACGAAACTAGCGAGGCGCGGCTTGAGCGTAGCGAGTTGCGAAAACGGTTTTATGAAAATTCCAATAGCTCCCGTTTTTCTTTTCTTTTTTTTACTTTCTTATAGTTATGCACATAAACCAAGACCATGCTTTGTACAAATATATATAATTAGCAACTTCAAACAGCACGAACGCCCAGGTTTTCTTGCAGTTAGACGCGAAAAAGGCGCGCGCGAGCGTACCCGATTGCCGGCCGCGCGCCTCGCTGCACAGAAGTGACGAGACGCTTGGGGGCGGGAAAAACTGGGGAAACCCTAGGGAGAATGATGTTTCGGTTTTGGCAGCAAACAAAATATTACTTTTTTTAATGAACTAGAGTGAATCTGGGAGAACGAGATAGCATTTCGGAATCAGGAAGCCATCCGCATTCAGATTATGCCCTTGGATTAGGTAGCTTGAAAAGTCGGCGGAGTTCCCCTTTAACGGTGCTGGGACACGCCAAAATAAAATAGAGTTTACTATACTACAAGGACCCATTATATGTTCATATAATTATGTTAAATTTGTATTTCTTTTTCTATAAAAGGAGCAGTAGTTTCCTGGATGTATAGATTGATTCGCGGGACCCTCGGATCCACCCTATTCGGTAAAACCGCGAGGTTGGGTGGGTCGGTGACTAATTACTTCGCCCTCTGTCCCTGGCGGCACGGCGTGCCCTTGCACGCACTCGAAGATTTGGCTCCTCGGCGTCTCGCGGTCTCGAGAGGGCTTCTACGGCATCGCTCGCTTCGTAGTAGTCTTCAACAGCGATTGCAGCAGCGACGAGAGCGATTGGTATCAAGAGACGTTACGCGATCATTGTAACTTCGACGCGCTGGAGAACAGCTCCAGCGACGGCGACAGGATCATCACGGACAAACTTGCCGTCGTCGGCGGCGGCAAGTTCACACTCTTGCAACCGAGTAGGACCGAGAGAGAAGAGATCTGTTAAAACTTAAAATTTCTTATGACGACGGCATTCTGGCGCCATCTATGCGGTGATCCTGGAACTGCGTTTCACAAAAGCGAAGGTTTTGCGGGATTTCCGAGGTCAAATGTCCGTAATACCTATAAGAAAGGCTCGTTTATAACGTTGATAAAAAATTTTCGAGCCAAGAAAGAAAAAATAATGCGCGAGAGAAATAGAAAACATGCCGAACCGCCAAGTTTACACTTCTACCCAATAGACGGTGCCAGTGTGTCCTTTTGTTGTAAGAGATATTAAGAGGTTCTAAGGCACTCTATATGAAGAGGTCTCAAGAGTGTGAACGGGCCAAGAGTACTCGGCCGTGAAATGACCCGTACACAAAACCGTCGCGTCCGACGGGGTCCAGCCAGCGCCCGCGACATGACGCTTTCATGTCTCCCGTCACCTATAGGGTTCTTCGGAACGAGACAACAAAACGGGCGGTTGTTCCTCCTGCACGTTCCGGCATCCCACCACCGCACAACAGACTTCGCGCGACATTTGAGACTGCTTTCGCGTTGACAGCTACGCGAACGTTCTTTTGAGACCCGACGCATGCGATCGGGGAGGAAACCGGCGAGCGAATTAAGGCCGAATGGCCAGGGGTAGTCGAGCGAACCAGCAAGACGCACGTGCCCGCCGGGCGAAAGGTCGAATGGCACAGGAGCGAGAGTGAGAGTAGAGTTGAAGTATCCGAGTGGCATAAGGTGGTACGATCGTAGCGTAACGTACCTGGGCGAGCATGGGGTGCATGGGTGAGCCTAGAATGGTTTATGAACACCCGCATCCCCAGAAATCTGTGCCATCGCATGCTAGCGCCATCTCTTGGCGGA